AATGGAAAGCCGTGTTGATTTTAGTGTATCCTTCTGTGCAAATTTTAAATGAAGGACTTATGACCGTGGGTAACTGATGGCGGGGCTGGTGTGAAGAAGCCAGCTGGAACCTTCCCAAGGTGTTGGAGTGAGCCCCGTTGTCTGTGAAGTCCTGCCTGCGAAAACCCTCAGATCCTCCTGGGCCTTGTCTGTCTGGAGCTATTGACTCCTGTGGGTGCCAGTCGGTGTTGGCCAAATTGTTTGTCAAATAAGTGCCAGTTTTTTTTCATGCCCATCAATGCGCCTTAATCAGGGAAGCAGAGAGAGCAGTGGGGACAGCAGGGTCTCAGAGTCAGGTGAATTCAAGCCTGGGTTTGAATCCTAGTGCTGCCATTTAATGAGTGAGTAGCTTAACTCTTCTGAGCCTCAGTTTTCTCATTTGCACAAGAGGAACAATGATAGTGCCTCCGCCATAGGGGTATTCTAGGGAATAAGTGACTTAAGAATTGTGCAGGGCACTCAATATGTTAGAAATGGCTAGCTCTTATTACAGGCTGTGCTTCTTTAGGAAAGAAACTTACTTGCTAATTGCAAACAGTGGAGGAAAAGTTTGGGGTGCTACCAAATGGTATAACTGGGGGCCTCTCTTCATCTGAGGGTGGTGGGAATCAGGGGAAGTGCCCATCGCCGAGGGAGGGCTGAGGATTTTCATTTCCAGATGAGGAGACTGAGACCCAGAGAGGTCAAGGAACTTGAGCCAGAATTTGAATTCAGGTCTCTCTGACTCCAAACCTAGTGTTCTTTTTTTTGGGCCTCGGCCCTCCCCATAAAACATCAGCTGTCCAGTGGTTACTCACAGAAGATGTTCCACAGTCACGATGGAGCCAGGAAGGGCCTGGGGGAGCCCTGGGGTGGAGACTTTGAAGGTGGGCCTCTGGGCAAACTGGTCCTTAGGGGTAGGGGATGGGGTGGGGTGGGAAGTGTGTCTCAAGTCCCACAGGGGAACTCATAGGCAAGGAGAGTAGGGACCGGTCCTCTCTGGGTCCAGAAATTGGAGGGTCCTCTTGGGAGCATCATCATCCTGTCCTTTCCCGGTGGTCTTATTTGTAGAACATCTTGTGGTGTTCTTAGGCTCAGCTGTCAGCTGCCCAGATGTGGCTCTGGCTTTCCAGGTGGGACTTTTTGCTTGTTCTCAGCCATTGTGCACTGATTGCACGCCTCCTTGTGGGGCTGTGCCAGGGCTGCCAGCCCTTCAGGATCTCTGGGATAAACTCTTTGGTTCTCTGCCACCCTCGTTTGCTCCTTTCTCTGCCAGGAGAGCTCTCTGTGGAGCTGTCGGCCCACTTTCCACAAAGAGCACGAGGGCTTCTCCATCTCGCCAGTTTCTTCTCTGAGTTCTTTGAGCCAACAGAAGTCCCTCTTCTTGAAACTGTTGCACTTGTCTTGTATGTGTGTTATGGACGCTCCTTGGAATCATCTTTCCAAGTTGCCTTTTAGGTTCCAGACCCAAGATCTTACAGCAGAGAAGGACCAAGACTCTTGTCAGCCAGCTGCCCTGGCTTTCTGGCACTCAGGAGCTTCCTTCCTTTCCTGGAAATGACTAGTAATGTCAACAGCTGCCCTTGCAGGTGTGCGCTGTGTGCCAGGCACTGGGCTGTGTGCTTTATATACATTATTATATTTAATATTTACATCATTATATTGGATTGCAACAATTTTTACCTTCACTTGACATGTGAGAATGGAAGTTTGGAGAGAGTAAGTAACATCCTCATGGTCACATACAGAGCTGGGAACTGATCTGAAGTCTGACTCCAGAGCCCATCTCTCAGAGTCTACATTGCATTGTGTTCCCCTGAGGATGTTTCATGAAACAAACAAGAAAAGCCCTCCGTGGCGAAAGATGTTTGTGAAACATTGCTGTTTCCACTCCTCTCTTGAAGATTTAAAATGCACACAAACACACCAAAAGCCCCGAGAGGTCTTGCAGGGAAGAAACCTGTTTGTTTTTGTTTAAACTAGAATTTCACAGACTCCTTTAAAACACAGAATTCCTCTTCCTCCTCTTGCTCTTCTTTTTAATGGGATACCACTTAATGATCTCGCATCCCTACTATTTTCTGAAACACTCTGGCAACCACCATATTAGGCCAGTCTGTTCTCTTTGGACCCCAATTTCCCCATCTGTAAAATTAAGGGTTTGGGCATCCCACCACAATGGCATAACTGGTACTTGATTTGCCATCCAGCTGTAAGCAACCAGAAATCCAGCTAAAATATAGGAATCAGTTGCTTTCAGACATTGAACTATAGACAGCTCAAGACTGTGGTTCCTGAGAGCAGAGAAACAAATGAGGTGAGGCCATCTTCAAACCATGGCACAGGAAGGTGGAACCCAAGCACAATGGGGCACTGACCTGGTTGGAGTTTGGGGAAGTTGGGCTCATCAGGGGGTCTCCTGGTGATCCTGCATTCAGTCTGCCAGTTAGTTGTTGAGTAGGAATTCTAGGCCAGGCACTGGAGAGGGTTCTTGCAGGGAGGGTCATTTCAGCCAAGAGTTGAAGGATGAGTATGAGTTCATCAGGCAAGAAAAGTAGGGGGAGGAGGGATTTTGGAGGGAGAAGGATAACATATATGAAGGCACAGGGAGTAGGGGCAGATATCTAAGCCCCACTGACAGTCCCCCACTGGACCCTGCCAGCTTAGACCTGGGCAGAGATTGGCTCGAAAATGGGAGGGCTGGACTTGAGTAAGCCCCTTGCAGCCTCACCCAGGGCAGGAGGAGGGACATGAGTACAGTCATGCACCGCATAATGAAGTTTTGATCAACAATGGACCGCATATACCATGGTGGTCCTATAAGATTATAACGGAGTTGAAAAACTCCTATGACTTAGTGACATTGTAGCCGTCATAATGTCGGCGTGCAATGCATTACTCACTGGTTTGTGGTGATGCTGGAATAAACCTACTGCATTGCCAGTTGTAAAAAAGTTTAGCACATATAGTTATGTGCAGTACGTAATAGTTAATAATGATGATGACTGTATTACTGGTTTACGCATTTAATATACTATACTTTTAATCATTATTTTAGAGTGTACTTATTTTTTAAAAAGTTAACTGTAAAACAGCCTCTGGCAGGTACTTCAGGAAGTGTCCCAGAAGAAGGCACCGTTTTCATAGGCGATGACAGCTACATGTGTGTTATTGCCCCTAAAGACCTCCCAGTGGGACAAGATCGGTGGAGGTGGGAGATGGCGATACTGATGATCCTGACCCTGTGCAGGCCTAGGCTAGTGTGTGTGTGTGTGTGTGTGTGTGTGTGTGTCTTAGTTTTTAACAAAAAATTTTAAAAAACCAAAAAAAAATTTTTAATAGAAAAAAGTGTATAGAATAAAGATAGAAAATATTTTTGTGCAGCTGTACTATGTGCATGTGTCATTATAAAAGTCAAAAAATTCAAATTAAAACATTTCAGTAAGCTAAGGTTAATTTATTATTGAAGAAAGAAAACTTTTTAAATAAATGTATTGTAGCCTAAGCATACAGTGTTTATAAAGCTCATGGTAGTGTACAGGAATATTCTAGGCCTTCATATTCACTTACCAGTCACTCAGTGACTCACCCAGGGCAGCTTCCAGTCTTGCAGCTTCATTCATGGTAAATTGCCTTATACAGGTGTACCATTTATTATTATTATTATTATTATTTTTCTTTTGAGACGGAGTCTCGCAAAAGACTTCGTCGCCTGGGCTGGAGTGCAGTGGCGCAATCTCGGCTCACTGCAACCTCTGCCTCCAAGGTTCAAGTGATTCTCCTGCCTCAGCCTCCCAGGTAGCTGGGATTACAGGCTCATGCCAACACACCCAGCTAACTTTTTGTATTTTTAGTAGAGACAGGGTTTTACCATGTTGTCCAGGTTGGTCTCGAACTCCTGACCTCGTGATTCTCCTGCCTCGGCCTCCCAAAGTGCTGGGATTACAGGTTTGAGCCACCGCACCCGGCCCATTTATTATGTTTTATAGCATATTTTTACCGTGCATTTTCTGTGTTTAGATACGTAAATACTTACCATTGTGTTATAATTGCCTACAGTATTCAGTATAGGTTTGTAGCGTAGGAGCAATAGGCTATGCTGTGCAGCCCAGGTCTGTGGAGTAGGCTGTACCATCTGGGTTTGTGTAAATACATTCTGTGGTGTTCTCACAAAGACTGAATCACCTAACAATGCATTTTTCAGAACATATCCCTGTTGTTAAGCAATGCATGAGTATTAAGTGAGTGAGTGGAAGTGTGTGTCCCAAGGCAGGTGTGGCTGTTTTCTCAGTTCCGGGACCTGATCTCCAAGACCAGAGTGGGACGTCCTTGGGAATGCTGAGCAGAACAACCAAGGACAGGGTGGTCCTGGGGGCTGCGGGGAGGGTGGTTTCCCAGGGTGTGTGAGGAGCTACGCACCTCTCCACCCACTCCCCCATTGGTTGCGGCCCTGCACTGGCTGACAGTGGAACTGCCTGCACAGGAGACAGGCTCCTATTCAGGTGCCTCGCATTAATCTGCAGAGGGGTTGGCAGTAGCTGCTAATTTCCAATTTGCTTATCTTTGAATGGGCGTAATTGCTGGGAGTTGCCAGTGTTCCAGGTTGTTCTCTGGAAGAAGGGGAGGAAGAAAGGGCTGTCTGTCGTGGGCTCTGCGGAGCGCTGCCTTCTGCAGGGAGTGCGGTGAAGGCTCATGGGGTGGAGTGAGGGGATAATGGAATCATAGCCAGGCAGGGCCACAAGGGCCCTCGGAGACCACCTGATCTGACCTGCTCATTCTACAGGTGGAACTGAGATTCAGAGGGAGGGGATGTGCCCAGGACCACACAGGGTGGGCCTGACTAGGTGCTTGGCTCCAGCCAACAACCCAGCCATCCTTGGCATTGGCTGTGCCTCCCTTCCCCCATAGCCCCCCAGTCTCTCCAGGGCCCCCAAGGCTGGGACGTGTGTGTCAAGAACTGCTTTGTCTTTCTCTGACTGCAGGAGACCAGCGCAGTGGTGGGGTCACTGAGGCCAGCAGCCTCCTGGGGGGCTCCCCGAGGCGTCCCTGTGGTCGGAAGGGCTCTCCGTACCACACAGGGCAGCTGCACCCTGCAGTGCGTGTGGCAGACCTTCTACAGCACATCAACCAGATGAAGACGGCTGAGGGTTACGGCTTCAAGCAGGAGTACGAGGTGCACGCCGGCCCCGGGCCAGCAGGACCCCTGCGGAGGCCTCACCTGGTTCTTACTCTCTGTGGACTCTGACCCTGGCAACCCTCAGCCTAGCCCTGGTTGGACCCCTGCTCTGACAGTTCCCAACTCAACCTTTTTGACCTTGACTCTGACCCTCATCCGAATTTTAGATTGATATGGTTTTTCACTGTCATGCTAACCCTGATTTGAAATCTGACCTTGAATCTCGTCTCCATCTCTATGTGGATTGTGATCGGGATCCTTATTCTGTCCCTAATCTGAACCTGCCCACGGACACTGACCTTGACCTAATCCCAGCCTGACATTGATCCTGAATGTCATCCTAAGCTCCATTTGAACTCTGGATCTCATCTCACCTCTGTCTGAACTCCGACATCGCCCTTATCCTAATCTAAATCTGACCCCCGCCTTTACCTTCTTTCTAATCCTTATTCTAAGCCTGACCCTTATTCCAAACTGTCTTTGAACCCTGACCCTCTTTTCCTCTTTTCTCATTTCTCTTCCCCCCACACGCCTTGGTTTTGACCCTGGTCCCTGGCTTTATGATAAAAGGACCCACAGTGACAGCGACTTTATCTCAGGCCCAAGTTCAGCTTGAACCTGGCCCTTATTGTCCCACTCCCATCCTGCCTACATCATCCCCATTGAGGGGAAGGGGCCCTATGAGGGAGGGTCCCTCTCTCCCACTGACCACCACTTCCCCTTCTGGTAGAGCTTCTTTGAAGGCTGGGACGCCACAAAGAAGAAAGACAAGGTCAAGGGCAGCCGGCAGGAGCCAATGCCTGCCTGTGAGTCCTGGGGAAGGGCCTGGGGTCCAGGGCAGTGGGCGGGAGGGCATCAGGAAGGGGAGCACAGCCAGGGTGAGCTGGGGCAGCCTCAGAGATGATAGTAGCATTGGCCACCTTTTATTGAGAGCCTGCCACATGCCACGCCCTTGCTTGTTTCATTTATTCCTGTCAATTCCCCTGTGAAGCGGGAAATACTATAATCCGCGTTTTACAGATAAGGAAACTGAGGCTTGGGAGATTAAGATTCCTGCTCAAGGTCTCAGAGCTAGTAATTGCCTGAGCAGCATACACTCTTGGGCCTCTTTGACTCCATAGCCCAGACTCTACCCCCTGGTGTGTCCTGCCTCCCATGGTGCCCAGAGACTACTGGTAAGCCCTGAGACTCTAGGTTCCCTGGTGGCCCTGCCTGTGCCCTATCCCCAGCCTCCAGGAATCCCTCCCTGACTGCCTAGCTCTGGGCTCCCCAGTTCAGCCCCTGCCCACCTGCTCTGTGTTTACAGATGATCGGCACCGAGTGAAACTGCACCCGATGCTGGGAGACCCCAATGCTGACTACATTAATGCCAACTACATAGATGTGAGTGCCTTGCCCTGTCATTTCTGCAGACCTGGCCCTGCCCACTCCAGGCTTACTATCCAGGCAGGGCAGAAACCTGTTGGGATAAATGGGGGTTCAAGTGGCTGAGTTTGGAGTGCCCCCATCTCTGCAGTCAGTGCCAGGGTGCTCAGAGGAGGGAGGACAGTGGGCAGCAGATTCTGGAAGGCTTTCTGTAGGCTGGAGTTGGCCTGAGAGATGAGGTGCTTTAGGGAAGCAGAGCAAAGGGAAGAGGCAGACAGCTAGGCCAAGAGGTGAGGAAGGCGGGAGGCATGGAGAATGGGATTCTCACCGTGTACCATGAGGCTGAAGAGGTAGGCAGGGGCTGGACTGTGAAGACCTCAAATGGCAGGCTCAGGAGTGGGGGCTGTTTCCTAGGAGCACCAGGGAGTTGTTAAAGTGTTTTGACCATAATCAGAGTGGTCCTTTAAGAATAACAACACACGTTTATCCAGTATGTACTGGGTGCCAAGCACTGTGCTAAGTACTTTACACCCAAGATCTCCTTTTCTGTAATTCCTCCACCCACCCTCCGAGGCACTTAGCACCATGACCTCACTTTACAGGTGAGGAAACCGGGGCTCAGAGACGCGAAGTGACTTGTCCCGGGTTGCACAGCTAGTGAGTGGTAAAGAAAGGACTCAAATCTCAGCCTGTCTTTGTCTCTAAAGCCTTTGCTGCTGTGAGGCTGTCCTGCCCCCTGCTGCAGCCGCAGGACTTGGATGGATGGGAGGGTGGGGCCAGAGACAGAGTAGGCAGCCAGGAGGCTTGGGCTTGGGTGTCAAGGAGAGGTGATGAGTCTACTCCCTAGGTGTGGAAGAGGGGTGAGACGGCACAGGGCCCCTAACCCCTACAGCAAACCAAGTTTGGGAGAGCATCATTTAATCACGTATGAAATAAATTTTAAGCACCTCCTTTGTGCCACGCGTTGTGCTGGGCACCAGGGATACAGATGTGAACAAGACAGTCATGACCTCTGCTTTCCTTGAACGTGTCTATTCGAGTGGGTGAGACAGACATTTCTACAAATCAAAATAACTTCAGATGAGATGAGCAAGCGCAGGCCAGGAGAGAGATCACACAGACTGAGTGGTACACAGCAGGCTAGTGGCAGAGCCAGGGCTGGCGTGGCGAGCTTTGTGGAGGAAGCAGGGCTTGAGCTGCCTCTGGGTGGCTGGAGAGGAGAGGGAAGAGTGTCCCGGGTGGGGAGCTGCCTAAGCAAAGGCCTGGGGGGCCAGGCGGAGCAAGGCACAGGTCTGGGAGCCGAGCTAGTCAGGGCCTCTGGAGGTGGCCTCTCCTCTCCCTCTTCTCCTCCTCCTCCTGGAGCCAGATGTGCCATGCCATGTTTCCCAGAATCCCTTGCTGCCTCCCCCACTCATCCTATCCCTTGGTTGGAGTCAGGGCCAGGCCTGGCTTCGCAGACTTGGGCAGCTTTGGTGACAGTGGGCCTCTCCTTGGTCTTGTCAAGGTCCCAGTTGGCTTCTCTTGGGCCCTGGCAGGGACACACCACTCCCCACTCTGTGGCTCAGCCCAGCCCAGCCTGCCCGTCTCCGCTCTGCCTGCCCTGCTCACATCGCCCATTCTGGCCACTCCTGTGCTCCGTCCACCTCCATCTGCCCCTGGCCTAATATCTGTCTCTTTTGCTTTGTACTGTTCCCTCACTGGAATCATTAAGATTCGGATAAACCGAGAAGTAAGTATCTCTCTCCCCTTCTCCTCCTCCTCCTCTTCCTCCTGTCTGTCTGACTGGCTGTATCTCAGGCTCTCTCACAGTCTCTCGCTGTCTCTTTCTTTCTCTGTCTCTGTCCTTCCTTTCTACTTATGTGCCCAGCACCAACCGTCCATTTCAGCAGCCTGGCCAGGGGCCGCCCAGGGCTGAAGATTCGAGAGTGTTCCTATTGTAAGCAGTTCCCTCCCATCCTCCACTGCCTTGAGCAGGGGCAGCAGTGTTGGGGGTGCTTCCCCTGCCCCATTCTGCACTGGTCACCACTGTCTGTCACCTTCCTTCCCTGGCCCCGCCATTCCCCAGGAGTCCTTCCTAGCTGCACCTTCTACAGGACCCTTTGGAGGGTGCAGGGGAAGCTGCCCTGGAGGGCCCTGTTTCTGCTGCTTGAGGGTCAAGATCTTGGACAGCCCCAGGTCAGCCTCCTAAAACTACTTTCCCTAGTGTTCAAATACCTTCGTGATCAGTTTGCCTGAAACTCAACCCTGACCATTTCCCCCTCAATTTAGCCTTAATTTGAATGTTTTTTGGAGGGAGCAGTTTAGATATTCTGTTTTAAAATTATGCATTTTTTTTTTTTTTCTTTTTGAGACGGAGTTTCACTTTTGTTGCCCAGGCTGGAGTGTAGTGGCACGATCTTGGCTCACTGCAACCTCTGCCTTCCCGGTTCAAGTGATTCTCCTGCCTCAGCCTCCCAAGTAATTGGGATTATAGGCATGCACCACAACACCCGGCTAATTTTTGTATTTTTACTACAGATGGTGTTTCACCATGTTAGGCTGGTCTCAAACTCCTGACCTTAGGTGATCCACCTGCCTTGGCCTCCCAAAGTGCTGGGATTACAGGCATGAGCCACCACACCTGGCCCATTTTTTAGCCTTTTAAAATTTAAAAAAAAAAACTACCATAATTCATCTAGCTATTCTCTGATTGATTTCTTTTTTCTTTTTTTTTTGAGACAGGTTCTTGCTCTGTCACCCAGGCTGGAGGGCAGGGGTGTGATAATGGCTCACTGCAGCCTTCAACTCGTATGCACAAGCAATCCTCCTACCTTAGCCTACTGAGTAGCTGGGACTACAGGCGTGTGCTGCCATGCCTGGCTAATTTTTTTCATTTTTTTTTTTTTTTAAGAGATGGGGTCTTCCCAGCACTTTGGGAGGCCAAGGAAGGCAGATTGCTGGAGTCCAGGAGTTCGAGACCAGCATGGGCAACATAGTGAGATTGTCTCTACAAAAAATACAAAAATTAGCTGGGTGTGGCGGCTCATGCCTGTAGTCCCAGATACTGGGGAGGCTGAAGTGGGAGGATCGCTTAAGCCCGGGAGGCAGAAGTTGCAGTGAGCCGAGATCGTGCCATTGCACTCCAGACTGAGCAACAGAGCCAGTCCCTGACTCAAAAAAAAAAAAGAGACAGAGAGATGGGGCCTCACTATGTTGCCTAGGCTGGGGGTTTTTAATACATATATACTGTTTTCATAATATTTAATGATTGATATGATTATTTGCTATTTTGTGGGTGCTTTTTCCATATTGTCTCCTTTTTCCTTTAAAAAATATATTTCTTGGCTGGGTGCAGTGGCTCACACCTGTAATGTCAGTACTTGGGGAGGCTGAGGCAGGAGGATTGCTTGAGCTCAGGAGTTAGACCAGCCTATGTAACATAGTGAGACCCTGTTTCTACAAGCAAACCAACAAACAAAAATTAGTTGGATGTAGTGGCCTGTGCCTGTAGTCCCAGCTACTTGGGAGGCTGACGTGGGAGGATTGCTTGAGCACTGGAGTTTGAGGCTGCAGTGGAGACAGTGGCATAGAGTGACAGCAGGAGGGAATTGAGCTAGACATGAAGTTCCAGTGCTGTGGGCTGGGAGACACTGGGAGACTTTTCATCATTAGTCACTTTGACTGTGTTTTGGTCATTTTCATGGGAACAGTGAGCAGGTATCCAACAGAATCTCTGAGTGTTTGTCTTGCTGTTTTCCTCATATTGCAGAGGAGAACAAAGGCTTAGAGAGGTTGAGAGCCTGGCTACTCAGAGGATGTTTTGAGGCCAGCAATATGGACACCCCCTGGGAACTGGTGATGCAAAATCCTGGGCCCCACCCCAGACCTTTGAATCTGAATCTGCCTTTTAACAAGATCCCCGGGAGATTTATACGCTCAAGAAAGACTGAGAAGCACCTTCTCAGCGCTCAGAGTTACACAGCTACTACTGCATAGCTGTGGCAGGGACCCAGGTCCATTCAGCTCCAAGACTCGGATTCTTCACCCCATAGTCAATCACCTTCTGCCCCAGCAATTCATGACTTCCATTTGATCCACTTGATGCATTTGTATCTTCAAGGATACTGCTTCAGCTTTAAAATAGTAGCAGTAGTAATAATAATGGCTGTTACTGATTAAGTACTGACTTTATGCTAGACCCAGTGCCAGGCATTTAACATACTACTTTATTTGCTCCTCACAACAGCCCCTCAGAGGTAAATGCTGTAATTGTTCCATTTTATACACACGAAAATGGAGACATAGAGAAATGAAGGGGTTTTTGCTCAAAGGCACACAGCTAGTGAGAGGTAGAGCTGGGATTTGAACCTTGGCAGTCTGGCCCCCGGGCTCCTCAGGCCTGGGAAGTTCACGAGACCAGAGTTGTTGCTGGGAGCTGTGTTGAGAGTGTAAACTTGAGGTAGGGGCCTGGGCTAGTTTTCTCATTGCCAGCCCTGCAGTACTAATTCCCCTTTCCGCGTTGCCCACGTTGATGCCCTTGGTATCTGGTGAATTCTTTCGCTTAGAAAGATGAGGCCTTATGGCAGGACCTCATGGGTGGCTGTGGCCCTGGGGTGGCTTGTGGGAGGGCAGGTTTCTCTCCTCAGCTTGGGGGCTCTGGGGATGGCGGATGAAGTAGCTCTTGGCCTCTCTCTTGTGGGAGGTGGTACAGGTAAAGTGCTTAGCACAGTACGTGACCATAACAGGGTCATTATTATTGATCTTAAAGTTTTTAACATTTTATCTAAGGGCCGTGAGTAATGCCTGTGCCCATATACTTCCATCCTGAAGCCCTCATTTAGGCCCACCATGCTCTGAGTGACTGAGGAGTAGGGGGGAGGGGTACTGTCCATGCTGGTTATCCCGAGGGGACTAGGATAACTGACAAACTCTGGTTACCCCACATTTGGGATCTGGGTTGTTTAGAGCTTCTGGAACCCTGGGAACAGGCAGGGCCATTGGGGACTCTGTCTCCCAACGACAGCCTGGCGGAAAGCAGATGCCTCTCTCCACTTTATGGGCGGGGGGTCCCTCTAGGCACATAAAGGAGTCATGTCCTCTCTGGGGTTGCACAGCCCAGGTTGGATTAAGTCCACAACTCTGGTGTCCCAGCTGCATTTCCCCACTTCCTCAGGGACTAGCGGGGATGCAAAGTCACCCTGGGTAGGAGGCCCTAGGGACGTGAGGGCACAGTTCCCTGGTGGGGTAGGGGTTCTGCCGCTGGGAGGGGAGGGCAGAGGGGGTGTGAGGGAGTGAGGGGCTGCTCCCTGGGGTCTAACCGCTCCCTTTCCTCCTGTTCCAGGGTTACCACAGGTCAAACCACTTCATAGCCACTCAAGGTACCTGGCACCTCTGCCCACATGCACCTTCCTGTGTGCCTCCTGGCATGCTGGAATGCCCTCAGCTTGCCTTTCTGCCTCCCCTGCTGATCCATTTGGATTCCTGAATGTCCCCCAACCCTCGCCACATTCTGGCTCCCTGCTTGTTCATCTGTTCCCTATTCTGCTGCGTCTCTTGGAATCTGGCCGACTGCCTTTGTCCCCTCTTTGTGTTTGTGTCTCCCTGATGTGCTTGGTCCATCTGCAGTTGCTAGTCCACCTGCCTGTCTCCAAAATGGTGTTTGCAAAAGGCCTAGCCGGGCTTAGGCCTCATGGGTGTGGGTTGGGCCTCTCGGTCTGGTGGCTGCCTGGGTTCTTCTGTTTGCATCTCTTTCCGCGACTGTCCATCTGTCTGTCCCTCCTGGACACTCATGCCATTGCCAAACCATCTGGCCCTCCTCCAGGGTCCCATTCAGGATGAGCAGGCTCTTTAGCCAGGCCCTCTCCTGATGCAGTGCAGCCTCAGGGCCCTACAGGCAGGCGTCAGCTGCAAGCTGGGTGTTGTGGGCGGCATGAAGCCCCTGTTGGGGCTCAGGAGGCCTCTTGGCTTAGGGCGTGGTGCTGGATGGTGCTGGGTGTGCTGACCTGGGGTGGAGACCTTGTCTCAGGGACAGGCATCCTCTGCACCCCCAGGGCCGAAGCCTGAGATGGTCTATGACTTCTGGCGCATGGTGTGGCAGGAGCACTGTTCCAGCATCGTCATGATCACCAAGCTGGTCGAGGTGGGCAGGGTAAGCCGGGCTGTGGGGTGAGCTGGGGCGCATGGCAGGCCAAGGGGGCAGCGACGAGCCCACTGAGTCCCGTCCTGTGGGGCCTTCAGGTGAAATGCTCACGGTATTGGCCAGAGGACTCAGACACCTACGGGGACATCAAGATCACGCTGGTGAAGACGGAGACCCTGGCTGAGTATGTCGTGCGCACTTTTGCCCTGGAGCGGGTGAGTCTCCCTGCCGCCTGTTCCCTGCAGAGGGGGCCTGAGCAGGGATCAGAGTCCACTCCCACTTCCCCCAACTCTGGGAGCAGGAGGGTGAGGAGCACACCACTGCCCATCCCAGCAAGGAGGCTACTTGGTCACTGTTTGCTGGGAGCACTCTGGAAGGGCAGGAAGGTAACTGCCTTTGTTGGTGCCCGTAAGAGGAAGCCGAGACAATGAAGGGGATGACAGTATCTGCCAGGTGCTGGCTCCTACTCTGTGCTGAGCCTGTTACACATATTGTTTCAGTCCTGGAAAGCTCTATGGGATTAGCCCAGATACGGAAAGTGAGGCTCAGAGGGCTTACGCCAGGCAGGAGAGGCCACATAGTCAGTGACTGGCTGGCGAGTCCTGTCCACGATCCCATTTGATCTGCTCTGTAAAGTCTTCAGAGGATAGTTTTTTTTCCTTTAAATTAAGACCCTGAGAGTCAAAATGATCTGTGTTTACACAACAACCTGGTGGCAGAGGTGAGTATTTCATAACCCAGGTTTAGGCATCAGGCAGACCATTGTCCAAATCCTGCGTGTTGTCGGTTTCTCTAACCTTGGGAAAGTGGCTTCTCCTCTTTGAGCCTTAGTTTTCTTGTTTGTACGATGGGACATTAATACCTACTTCATCAATAAATTGATCATTGGGATTAGTTGAGATTATACAATGAGACGCTCACCACGGTGCCTGGCACACAGCAGGTGTCTAATAGATGCTGCCAGGGACTCTGACTGTTATTCCCATTGTGTCCCCAGAGAGGCTACTCTGCCCGGCACGAGGTCCGCCAGTTCCACTTCACAGCGTGGCCAGAGCATGGCGTCCCCTACCACGCCACGGGGCTGCTGGCTTTCATCCGGCGCGTGAAGGCCTCCACCCCACCTGATGCCGGGCCCATTGTCATCCACTGCAGGTGGGGGCACCGGGAATCCCAAGGAGAAAAGGGGCCCACTGGGAAGTTGGGTTGGTTTAGGATCCGTAGTGGAGACCAGGCCTGGGTTCTCCTGCTTAGAGACAAAGTGCAGGAGGGAGCAACCCCCAAAGGCCTGTCCCCTTTGAGCTTTGGCTCTGAAGTTGGCACCTTCATGTGCTCCCCAAGACCTGTGAAGCACCTTGACCCAGTTGCTGAGGAGGCACTGGAGATAGGGAAGGGCCTAGGGGCTGGTGAGACACCACACGATTGAGTTCTGCCTGCTTTCAGTAAGCAGCTTTTCGTTGTACACCTGCTGCGTGCTAGGCCTGGCCTGGGGGTGGGAAGGACTTCAGTTCTTTCCACCAAACCCAGTGGGCCTTGCCCACCCACTGGCCTTCACACCTTCTGCAGACCCTGACTGGCTCCCGTGACCCCAGCTGCCCCTCCTCTCTCTGCTTCCTCCCTGGCTCCACATCTTTCTCTTGCTTCTTAAACGGGGACCCAGCACGCTGTCCTGGTCTGCCCTCTGTCTTCTCCTGGAGAGCCTAACCCCCAACCTTTGTGGCTTTGTCCATGGCCTCTGGGTCTCATTGTGGTTCCTCTACTGTGTTCTTATCAGCTCCCCAAATGCCGCATGGTAGAGTCGTCCTCCCTGCCCTGCCGCCTAAACCAGCTTCTCTATGATTTCTTTAGGCCTCTTTAAGATGCCATCTTTTAAAAACAAAACTTTATTGATATATAATACACTTAAAGCAAAGTGCAGAAATATGTTTAAAAATATGAATTTTCATAAACTGGGCACACCTGTGAAATAACCAGCTCTACTCAGATTAAGAAACAGAATATTGGCTGGGCACAGGGGCTCATACCTATAATCTCAGCACTTTGGGAAGCCAAGGTGGGAGGATCATTTGAGGCCAACAGTTTGAGACCAGCCTGGGCAACATAATGAGACCTCATTGCTACAAAAATAAAAAAAATTAGTGGGGCGTGGTGGCACAAGCCTGTAGTCCCAGCTACCTGTGAGGCTGAGGCGGGAGGTTTGTTTGAGTATGGGAGTTCCAGGTTACAGTAAACTGTAATTGCACCACTGTACTCCAGCCTGGGCAACAGAGCGAGACTGCCTCTAAAAAAAATTTTTTTTAAAGAAAGGAACAGAACATGAACAGTTCCCAGAAGCCCCCTTGAGCCTGTTTCTGGCCTGAATTCCCCCATCCCCAGTCCCAGAGAAATCACTGTTCTGACTTCTACAGCAAAGTTAGTTTCGCATGTTTTTGGACTTGTCATAAATGGAATCATACAGCATGTACTGTTTGCTGTTTGTCTTCTTTCCCTCAGCCTTAGGTTTGTGAGGTTCGTCCACAGTGGATCATCTTCCATCGAGTGAATAAATGACAGTGTGTTTGTCCATTCTGCCATGATAGGCATTTGGGTTGTTTCCAGTCTTGAGCTATTATGAGTAGTGCTGCTAAGGACATTCGATCATTTGTCTTTTGGCCAAGAAATGTATTTCTTTCTGTGTGGTATGCATGTAGGAGTAGAACTGTTATCTGTGTGAACGTTCAGTTTTAGGAGATATTGCTGAGCAGTTTTCCAAGGGGGTTGTGCTAAGTTAAGCCCCACCAGGGATATACAGGATATTCAGTTGCTATATGTCCTTGCCAGCACGTGGATGCCACCATTTTGAAACCTGAAATCTTGCTGTCATCTTTGTCCACTCTCCTTCCCCTTCAACTCTGCGCAACCTTGTGTGAGGACAAGGATCTTGATGTGCCCTCAGTCAAATTAGGGAGATAGCCATGTAAACAATGACTTTGTAGCAGGAAGAGTGTTTTATTGAATTAATTATTTTTTTTGAGACAGGATCTTGTTCTGTCATCCAGGCTGGAGTGCAGTGATGTAGTCTCGGCTCACTGCAACCTCCACCTCCTGGGTTCAAGCGATTCTTCTGCCTCAGCCTCCTGAGTAGCTGGGATTATAGGCACATGCCACCACACCCGACTAATTTTTGTATTTTTTGGTAGAGACAGGATTTCACTATGTTGGCCAGGCTGGTCTCAAACTCCTGACCTCAAGTGATCCATCCACCTCAGCCTCCCAGAGTGCTGGGGTTAGCCACCGTGCGTGGCCATGAAGAGTGTTTTAATAAAAACCTGCCCACATTGCTTTGGGACCTCAAAAGAATGACATCATCCTGGAAGGGTCAGGGATGCTCCAGCTATGTGAATGGGTATGAGTGTGTGGGCTTTTCAAGGATGTGTAGGAGATTTGGTGGTTTTCAGGAGGAAAGAACATTCTTGAATTAGCTCCGAGGGTCTCCTCTCCTAATCTAAGTTGCTAGGTTGAGCCAGTGTCACCTTTGCATTCTCCCCACCCTCTCTCCTCTCCTTCCCCAAGGCCCATCCCATCTCTGTCCTCTAGCACATTTCACCAGCGCTCTTCCATCCAGCAGCCTGTGCCCTGGCTCCTTACTTGGGGAGGGGCAATCATCTCTGTGTCCCTGTCCCCTGTATGGCATAGACATGGCCAGTGCCCTCCTCTCTTCTTCTCCTTAGTCCCGGGCTTCCTCCCCAAAGCTCTGACGTGGCCTGGGGCTGCTCTCTCTCCAGCGCGGGCACCGGCCGCACAGGTTGCTACATCGTCCTGGATGTGATGCTGGACATGGCAGAGTGTGAGGGCGTCGTGGACATTTACAACTGTGTGAAGACTCTCTGCTCCCGCCGCGTCAACATGATCCAGACTGAGGTGCGGGGACCTGGCCCTGTCCCCACCCTTACTTCTAGGACTGGAGTTTCTCGGGAAGGAACCTGGAGCCGGCGGAGCATGCCCAAAGGGTGTCCTGAGGCTCTTCCCTTCCCTCAGATCATCCCTGACCTTGAGCCGCCAACCACATAGCGTCATCCTGGACTGCTCCCCTGTGTTCTGTTGGGTGGGGTCAGACAACGGGTCCTGTAGCTGACATACCTGGGATTGCATCCTCACTGGATGTGTGATCGTGGGCTGTCCCCCACCTCTCAGAGCACCTCACGGGGTTGTTATAGGGGATAGGGATGAAATAGGAGATAAAGGGGCATGTCCATGGAGGTTGTTTCAGGTAGGCTTGGTCCAGCCTGTAGTAACACACGGTTGGCCTCTACCTCAGAGCACCCTGCCTCAACCTTGAACTTGCTGAAGCCCCATCACCACAGATCTCCAGCTTCTAGGCCCCTCCTCGGCTTCATTCTCGTCTCCTGTTCCAGGAGCAGTACATCTTCATTCATGATGCAATCTTGGAGGCCTGCCTGTGTGGGGAGACCACCATCCCTGTCAGTGAGTTCAAGGCCACCTACAAGGAGATGATCCGCATTGATCCTCAGAGTAATTCCTCCCAGCTGCGGGAAGAGTTCCAGGTGGGGGACAAGTGCACGTGTATAGGGGTGTGTGTGTGTATGTGTGTGTGTGTGTGTGTGTGTGTGTGTGTTGGGGCATCCTTAGTATTGCAGGAGTCATTGAAGGCCGAGAAGCAGGGACCAGCCTGAGGCCACAGCTGGAGGGACAGAGCTGAGCTACTAGGAAGGACTTTGGGACAGCGGAAGAGGGAGTGCATCAAAGCAGTTAAGAGCCCAGGCTTTGAAGTCAGATAAACCCAGGTTCAAATCCTGGCTTACCTAGTTAAGAGCTGTGAGAATCCTTGAACAAGTCCCTTTACCTCTCTGAGCCTCAGTTTTGTTACCCAGAGAAGAAAAGTGTGAATATGTCCCTTGGAGTGTTTGTATTCATTGGGATTCTTTTGGTTGTGAGTGATAAAAATCCAGCTTTTGTAACTGAAAAGCCTGAGCATTGTGCAGCTTCAGTTGTGGCTGGATCCAGGGGCTCAGATGATGATGCCAACACGTGGTTTCTCTCTGCCTTGGTTCTGCTCTCCTGTTTTGGCTTCATTCTCAGACCTGCACCTGGCCCCCAGCAGTGCTGGGCTCCTGTCATCTCTGTTGTCCAGTGACTTTGGAAAAAGGCACTTGCTCCCAGCATCCCCGCAAAAGTCCTAGATCAGACTCTCATGTTCCCATCCCTGGACCAGTCACAGGTCAGAGAGATGGAGCTCGCTGATTGCCCCTGGCTCTGGTCACGTACCCAAGGCCTGGCTCTTGGGGCAGGACCAGGGTCACCATATCACATGGCTGAGATGGGAAAAGCCTGGTTCTCCAGAGAAGCCTGAGAGTGATCACTGGGTGGGCAGAGACCTCAGTAGTCCTCTCCACTCCAGGGTTCCTGCAGTGGCTCAGCAGGATGGCACGTGCTGGGGACCTGGCCCTTCTCACAGGAGGTGCAGGATTCCAGGAGGAGGGTGTCAGGCTTTGGGGATCATGATAGGCTGCATTCCCTGTGAGGGATCTCCAAGAACAAGAGAAAGAAACAGAGCCCCTGGGTCTGGCTGCGTGAGGCGTGAAGGCACGGGGGTGGAGGAGATGCTCCAGAGATCCGGGTGTGATTCAGTGCCCGGTGCTTAGGACTTCATTCTGTTCAGACAGGGCTGTGACCAAGGAAGGTGACCCCCTCTCCAAGTGCCTGGAGTCCGCTTTGTGGAGGGCATGGGGTTTCAGGGGTTGCCTCAGTGAAGGCACTGATGAGCTAGTAGAGATCCTCACTGTGCCCGTCTGTGTGTGCCGAGCCCAGCCCAATGCTTGTCATGATCTCACTTTGGCCTCCCAAGAGCCCCATGAAGTAGGCATATTACTTCCCTATTTCACAGTCGAGGAAACTGAGGTAGAGAGATGCAGTAGCTTGTCTGAGGTTATGTGGGTGGCAAGGAGGTAGACTCTGGTCTCTAGAGCTCTGTCCAGGCCCTATAATGGCCTAGAGACCGGGAGTCTGGGTCCCTGCCCTGTACCCTTCTCTCTGGACCTCAGTTTCTCCATCCATAAAATGCAGTTAGTAACTCAGTCCAGCCTCCTTCATGGGGATGTGAGGAGGCCCAGCAAGCTCTGGACATAACTCTCTGTCCCCACCCCCGCTCCCTGTAGACGCTGAACTCGGTCACCCCGCCGCTGGACGTGGAGGAGTGCAGCATCGCCCTGTTGCCCCGAAACCGCGACAAGAACCGCAGCATGGACGTCCTGCCGCCCGACCGCTGCCTGCCCTTCCTCATCTCCACTGATGGGGACCCCAACAACTACATTAATGCGGCTCTGACTGATGTGAGAGCTCGGGGTGGAGTGGGCTCTGGGGCTCCCCCTCCCGGCAGCATCAGGGAAGGTCCACGGGCCAAGGGAACAGAGCTGAAGGCTCTGGTTGGGGGAACCCCTGCCCATTCTGGGGAACAGGATCCTGCGTGACCCTCCTACCCCTAGGGATCTTCCATTCAGGGTATTCAAGCCAGTGTCCCCAACACTCTGCCTGAGTGGGGTCTGTTTGTGGAGTTCAGGCAGGGCTGTCTCCAGGATCAGGCCCAGCAGAGCCTGGGGTAGGATGAGTGATTCAGGGGGCTTTGGCTGGGGAGACCTCGAGGGTTTGGGGATGGAACTTGAGACCTGATGTCTGGAGCCAGGGGAGCTTGTCCTGGGGAGAATGAGCTGGAGTCTGCTTCAGGACCAGGCCTGGGACAGTGATCTCTGGCCCCATTCTTCTCTGGGTGGGCGTGGGCCCTCTGAGGGCTCAGGAGCCGTTTAGAAGTCTCTTTCCCTGCTCCCAGCTCAGAGGCTCTGCTGCCTTTACTGAGAGTTGCAAGCAGCGCAGGAGATGGGTGCTGGCATTTTAGGCCCCTGATAAATGGCTCCAAGATGCTGCTGTCTGAGGCGGGAAGGGTCTAGGATTATTATCCCTATTCCTCTGTGACACTGGAACCAGTTCATACATAGACACAGGAGACACACGGGTGGAGATCAAATGTTATAGATAAAACTGGAGATGGAATTTGAGATGTGTGACCAATGGGTGGGCCACTTCTTTGCCTCTCCCCAGTATAGCTGTGTAACCGCAGGCCACCCCTCCCTCTCAGGGACTGGCCGTTACTGGCAGGGGGCAGGAACAGTTGGCTGCATGCTTTCTGAGGGTAGGCTGGCCTGGAAAAAGAGGGAGTGGAGCCAAGCAGCCTCGCTTATGGGAGGAGTGAGTGAAGGGTGGGTCAGGGTCAGGTGTGTCACCGCTGCGTCTCTCCACACAGAAATGAGGGATGCCGACAGGGAAGGTTCTCCCACAGCGGGTAAGTGGGAGATGGACTTTTTATGGCCTGATGCCTGGCCAGGAACCCCTTGGCAGGACAGTGCAGGGGACAGCAGGGTTTCTTTAAAGAGGGTGACCTCCCAGGGGGCTTCTGGGCATCAGCTGAAGGAGAGGGGAAGAGCAGCCCTAGCCACTGATGAGAGAGATGTGAGGGGCCCACCGGTCACTGTCACTCAGCTTAGTGGATGGAATGTGTGCTCACATGCTTGCCTGGGGACATCTGGCCTGCCTGAGGGGTCAGGGGTCCTGGAGGAGTGGTGTAGTGCTGGGAAGATCTTTGAACTAAACTTAGAAAGCTGTAGCCTCGTGCCCAGCCCCCTCCTTGACCTTAGGGTGCCCATGTGCACACTGGAGGCCTGGAAGGGAGACTGTCTGAGGGTCCTGAGCTGGGGTTCCCTGGCCCTGATGGGTGGGTTATCACATGGAGAAGTTCTGGGACAGCCCTGTCCCATCCTGAGGTCCTTGATGCCTCTGACGTCTGACCCCAGCCATGCGGGTCCTATTGGCTCAGGAGCCAGGAAGCCCCATTTCTCAGTCAGGCCCTGAACTCGTCAGTGAGGGGCCAGCTGGAGTCTTTTTGTGGTGGTCAAGTCTGTAAGGAGCCCCGTTGGGCACCCAGGACTGAGTTTTGGAGTCTGGCTGGGCCTGGCCTTGAGGAGTTGTTAATCAAGAGCCTTCAGAGAGTCCTGGAGAGGGACCACTGGGGGACCAGGGTGCTCCTTGTTTCTCTGTACTGCAACTTGCAAGATTACAAAGGGCAGATCAAGATTTGGTCAGGGCCCAAGTCTGGGTCAAGGCCAGAAGAAGCCAGACAAAGACCAGGGTCATGGGAGCCTGTGCCAGCCCCTAGGTCGGGAGGAAGACGGGGGGTCAGGAGAAGAGCTCAGGAAAGAGAGGGGGACATGGCACAGGGTGGGGCAGGGCAGGTCGCCAGGGGAGCCTGGGAGCCAGATCTCTGATGGGAGAAGGCCGGGTGCCAGCTCCCCTGGCAGGACGAGGGAGTAGTGAGCAGCGTCAGGGCCTGTCACTGCCTGGGGAGCCTGGGGTCCCAGACCCTTCACTGATGGAGTTGGGAGGGACCTAGAGATTTATTTATTCAAAATATTTACTGAGCCCCTCCAGGGCTCTGGGCGGAGACCACACCCTGGAAGCTCTGCTCTCCTGAACCTTGCTTTTAGGAGATGGAGTGGGATAGCTAGGAAGTAAATATACAATGAAATGTCATCAACTGGAAATTTCTACAAAAACAGCCAGGCAGAGTGTTTAATGTGGATTTGGGGTGTTGGCGGGGGGCTATTTTTGATGAGGTGGTAGGGGAGGGCTTCTCTGAGGAGGTGATAAGCAAAGACCAGAAGTGAGGGAGAGAGCCATATAGACATTTGGGAAATTTGGCCTAGGCAGCCAAAATAGCAGATGCCGAAGCGCAGAGGCAGGGAGTAAGCTTGGCCAGCCTCTGCCGTGAGCTCAGCCTCATGCCCAAGCTCCTCTCACCATACCTTTGGAAACTTTTGCTGTTTAGTTCTGGGGGGTCCTGGGCCCACCCTGTCAACCCAGGGCCTCCGTGTGCTGACCAACATCAGAAATGGCCCACTGGAGGCAGCCTGGTCCTGTGGGGCACAACTGCCCAACTCAGGGTGGGCAGTGTGGGAAGACAGTCTGGGGCAGAGGCTCAGCCCAGGCCAGGGGCCGGGAACAGGGCCCCGCTGAGTCCCGGTTTCCCTGGTCCCGGTTTCCCTGCAGAGCTACACACGGAGCGCGGCCTTCATCGTGACCCTGCACCCGCTGCAGAGCACCACGCCTGACTTCTGGCGACTGGTTTACGACTACGGGTGCACCTCCATCGTCATGCTCAACCAACTGAACCAGTCCAACTCCGCCTGGGTGAGGCCTCCACTGGCCAGGCGACGGGCCACCTGCTGCCCAGGTCCTCTGTGTATTCAGTGGCATGGTCCCCAAAGCCAAGAGTTGGGTCCCAGTTCTGCCATCTATATTGTGTGATGAGTCATACACCTTCTTAGAGCCTCAGTTTCCTCATCTGTAAAACAAGGGTGTCAGATGGGAGATCACTAGTTGCTCTTTTTCTTTTCTTTTTTTGAGACAAGGTCTCACTCTTTTGCCCAGGCTGGAGTGCAGTAGCGGGATCATAGCTCACTGCGTTGCGCAGCCTTGACCTCCTGGGCCCAAGCCACCCTTCCACCTCAGCCTATCGAGTAGCTGGGACTACAGGCTGCATCACCACAGCTGGCTGATTTTTTTTTTTTTTTTTTTTAAAAAGAACCACAGTCTCACTATGTCGCCTGGGCTGGTCTTGAACACCTGGCCTCAAGTGATCCTCCCACCTTGGCCTCCCAAAGTACTGGGATTACAGGCATGAGCCATTGCATCTGTCCACAGTTGCTCTTTATTGGCCCCCTGCTAAGCCAGGGACTGCTTTGCACTCATGGTCTTATTTAGAATCTATAATGACCTTGGAGGGAAGGCTTCAGTGAGAAAATTAAGACCCAAAGACATACAGTGCTTTCTCCATGGCCACGTGGCTGGGGAGGGGCAGAGCTGCGCTCCCCGGCCTCGGCTGCCTCATTCCAGAGCTTCTGCTCTTTTAGTCACTCCACTAAAGTGCCCTTCACGGGGGCCTCCGAGGTAGAGTACAACTCAAGCCTCCTACTTTCTGATGTTTGATCTAGGGTAAGTTGATGGACCTCTTTGAGTTTCACTTTCCTTCTCTGTAAAATGGGGGCCATCATAGGACCTGTTCTTAAGGGGTTACTGTGAGGACCAGGTCAGGGGTGCATAGGATGCATGGCACTGCTGTGTCTGGTGCACAGTAGGCATGTGGTACGTGTAGGCAGTAGGCAGGGACAAAGATGATGAGTGTGACAGTTGCATTTGAGATTGGCCCAGACACTGGTTCAGTGACCTCAGCCTGGGGGCAACCCCACTAACTCCCCCATTTCCCTTTGGAGCTCCCAAGAAGTACAGATACCCAGCCTTCCAGCCCTGCCTGACCAAGTGCTGTAGGTCTCTGGACCCCTTCCCACTCCGGCTTTCTGCTGGGCTCGGGGCTAGGAAGATTTGCTGTAAAATGAGTACAACAGCTTCTTAATGGCCTCCTGGAGAATATTTCATTAACTGGGCTCTTTATGCATCAGGCACTTTGTGAAAATGACCCAGGACTACAGGGTAATGGGCCTCAGCCCTGGGTGTAGCAGGAACCATCCTTGCTCGGGTAGAGGGGAGAGGCCCAGAGGGAGGCTCACACAGACATCATTCACTGGGCACTGATTTGCTCATCTGCTCAACCAACTTTGCCCATGAACTGCTCCCTGCAGTGGGCAGGGAGGAGACAGAGGCAGAAGAGACACCGCCCCTCCCAGATCTCCTGGTCCAGGAGGAAACAGGTAGAAAAACTGATAGTGACAGCACACAGGGAAAAGGGCTTTCAAAGAGCTGGCACAGGGACAGAGAAACCCAGGGGACCATGTATCAGCGACGGCTTCCTGGAGGAGGTAGTGTCTGACTGGAGGTATGTGGGAAGGGCAGAGTTGACTAGCTGAGGAGGTGGAGGAAGAGTGACCCATGGAGAGGGAGCAGCCTGTGCAGAGTTCTGAATGCACAGCGTTGCCAGGACCTGAGGCAAAACGGGGAAGGTGGTGTCCTCCTGTCATGGGCTGTGGTCAGAGGGGACTGATGAGCATGGTGTCTTTTTGGAAGAGGTTGGGAGGCATTTTACAGATGGAGAAACTGGGGCCAAGAGAAAGGAAGAGCCTTTCGTGGGCTTCAGGCAGAGCTAAGACTAGAAACTGAGGCTCAGGATACTTAGCCTGGAGGATGTGTATGCGCGTGTGTGTGTGCACGTGTGTGTGTATATGTACGTGTGTGTGTGTATGAGGTCAGAGGGCTGTACCTCCTCTGTCCCTCCACAGTCTGGAGTCTGGGAGGGGGTTGTATTTAGGACCCTGACTCCATGGAGGGGTCCTGGGGCAGAAGTGGGAGTACTGGACTGTGTTGCAGCATCAGGGACACCCCACCTCTGGGAGCTGGTGCTGAAGGGCAGAGGCAGTGAGAGAGAAGGCTGGGGGAGGTTCTGGGGTGGGTGGGAGTGATCCAGGCCTATTCCTGGAAGCAGGCAGCCTCATGTAGGAGCGTGTGAACCGGTTAAGGTGTAGCTTTCTAGCTGCACAGCAGTAGGCATCAGTGCACTGTTTGTGAAGGGTTCGTCTTGGCTGATCTGAACGTGTCAGTGCAGAACGTATTGGGACAGGTGGGCCTTGCAGCCTGTGGGTGATTGGTGGTGACTGGAGGGCCGCTGAAGGTGAGTCTGGAGTGAGTGGGTGGGCCAGGGTGCGTGGGAGCTACAGGGCAAATGTGGAGCCCTGGGAGTGGGCATGGCTATGGGGTGAGCCCCGGCCAGGCTCTAGTCAGCTCTCCCCTCTCCGTGCCCATGCCCAGCCCTGCCTGCAGTACTGGCCAGAGCCAGGTCGGCAGCAGTATGGCCTCATGGAGGTGGAGTTTATGTCGGGCACAGCAGATGAAGACTTAGTGGCCCGAGTCTTCCGGGTGCAGAACATCTCTCGGGTGAGTGGTCTGAGGAGCCCCAGGGAAAGACCCTGGGTGGTGGCTGGGGCAGCTTTTAGTGACCTTCCGGGTCATCAGGGGCCCCTGGGACTCTGGTGCTCATGTCCCCGTGGCTGGCTGCCCCTGTCTCCAGCTGCAGGAGGGGCACCTGCTGGTGCGGCACTTCCAGTTCCTGCGCTGGTCTGCATACCGGGACACGCCTGACTCCAAGAAGGCCTTCCTGCACCTGCTGGCTGAGGTGGACAAGTGGCAGGCCGAGAGTGGGGATGGGCGCACCATCGTGCACTGCCTGTGAGTACCTGCCCTGTAGGAGGGCAGGTGGAGGGGCTGGGGAGCCAGGGGCAGAGGTCCAGTCTGAAAGGGTGCCAGCTTTGGCTGGACTGCAAAGCTGGCACCGAAACCCCTGGGCTCTCAGATGGCTGTGGCCTGGATGCTGCCCAACCAGCCAAGGCTGGCCCTGGAGGAATGCAGTCAGTTTCCAGGCTATAGACTCAGCCCTGAACAATTGCCTAGTACCCTCTGTGTAATGTCTGACTTCGCCAATTTGAGAGTCCTTTGTCAGAATTTTTTCCCCCATGAGATTGTGGCACACTTTTTATGCCAACAGAACACTAGCCTTTGTTCATGCATGCACACATGCGACTTTCCATCCATCCATCCATCCATCCATCCATCCATCCATCCACCCACCCACCCATCCACATACCCCATTCATAAGTTCATGTATTCACTCATGTCTGGGTGCAGTCACTCCCTTGCTCCCCACTTTTTCATGCTTTCAGCACTTACCGAGCCTCTCGAGTGGCAGGCTGGGCCTACTGGAAGCTGGTGGGGAGCTGAGTCAGTCCGGGCCTGGCCCCCAGGGATTTTGGTTCTTCTGGTGGGAAAGACCCCTGAGAAGAGGAGTGAGGGCCGCCTCAGTCTGCCATCCCCCAGGAGGCACCCCACACATGGAGTCACAGGGAAGGAGGGAGAGGCACACAGGGGGTGGAGCTCTGTGGGAGGCTGTGGGCTTGACTTGGGGTGTGGGTACGTTTGTGCCTGTGTGCCCACGTTGCCAGGTGGTGACTGGTCTTCTCAGCGTTCCTGTTCCACCTTGCTCTCTGGGTACGCGCTTGCTGCTACCCGGCCGTTCTTTGTCACTGCCTTTGTCTCCGGGTGTTTCTCTTGGAGTGTGTCTGGCCTCCTTTCTCTCAGAATCTGCAGTCTGTTTCGCCTTGAGAACATGTCTTCTGAGATGCCCTAGCCTCTGATCCTCCTTAACCTGGTCCTGCTGGTCACCTCTGGGCCCTCTCCTCCTCTGTCTGGGTTCCCTAGCCCCACCCCTTACCTCAGGGTCCTCTGCCCCGCCCTTCTGAGTTCCCTAGTTCTGCCCCTCACCTTGGGCTCTTTGGCCCTCCTTAGTTTCCTTGCCCTGCCCCTCACTTTTGGACTCTTTGGCCCCTCCTTTCTGGGTTTCCTAGCTCTGCCTCTCATTTCCGGGCTCTTTGGCCTCTTCCTTCTGGGTTCCCTAGCTCCGCCCCTCTCCTCTAGGCTCTCTGGCCCCTCCTTTCTGTGTTCTCTAACTCCGCCCCTCACCTCTGGGCTCTCTGCCCCACCCGTGTAGATTCCCTAGCTCCGCCCCGCTCCTCTAGGCTCTCTGCCCCTCCTTCGTGGTTCCCTGACCCTTTCCTTACCTTCAGGTTCCAAGGCCCCACCCCTCACCTTTGACTCCTGAGCCCCGCCCCAAATCTTTTGCATCTCTCATTCAGAAATGGGGGAGGACGCAGCGGCACCTTCTGCGCCTGCTCTACCGTCCTGGAAATGATACGCTGCCACAACTTGGTGGACGTTTTCTTTGCTGCCAAAACCCTCCGGAACTACAAACCCAACATGGTGGAGACCATGGTGAGGGGCTGTGTCCCGTGCCCAGCCACTTCTACCTTCCTGGTCCATGCCAGGCCAGGTTCCTTAGCAACCACTCTCCCATATCTGGGCCCCACCATTGGGCCTTGGTTCTAGCCCTGTGGTCCTAAAACATTACCCCCATTTCCGCCTTCTCCCCGAGGACGGGCCTGGGCTCATGCTTGCCCTCTCGCTCCCTGTTCCCTCCCCCACGCCCCCCGCCACAATACTGGAGTCGGGGTCAGGCTCATGATTTCCTCCCTCTCTTTCTCTCCCCAGGATCAGTACCACTTTTGCTACGATGTGGCCCTGGAATACTTGGAGGGGCTGGAGTCAAGATAGCGGGGCCCTGGCCTGGGGCACCCACTGCACACTCAGGGCCAGACCCACCATCCTGGACTGGCGAGGAAGATCAGTGCCTCCTGCTCTGCCCAAACACACCCCTGTGGGGCAAGCATTGGAGTGGATGCTGGGCCATCTTGCTGCCCCTTCCACTGTGGGCAGGGTCTTTCACTTTGTCCCATGGGCAGGTCGTAGGCCAAGGAGGAGCTTAGCAAGTCTGCAGCCCAGCCCCACCTCCATAGGGTCCTGCAGGCCTGTGCTGAGAGGCCTGGCACTGCCTGGCAGAGTAACAAGGGCTCAGGACGGCCGGCTCTGGGGTACTCAAGCCAAGCCCCTTGGCACCATCCTGGCCTTTGGCAGGGTTGAGTGAGGCCCTGCAGAGAGTATCCCAGGCCAAGATTCCCACTCAGCCTGCTCCCTCTGCATGTGGGTAGAGGGTGTACTGGGGCTTGGCATCTAGGATTCCATCTGGCACAGCCTCTGAGGGTCCTGGGGAGGCAGGACTCTGTTCTGAACAGCCAGTGGGGCACACTGACTGTCCTCCCCAGGGGAACTGCAGTGCCCTCCTCCCCACTGCTCCCTGCAGCCCCTGGGATATTTTGCTCACTCTCCCTCCCCACTTCTGCTTCCCTGATATGTGCTCTGAGCTTCCCTGAACCAGGATCTGCCGATTCCTGCTGTGCCCCACGGTACACGATTCCTTCCCTGCGTGACCCACTATTGCAGAATGAAGTCACCTTGCCCCCCTCTTCCTTTAATCTTCAGGCCTCACTGGCCTGTCCTGCTCAGCTTGGGCCAGTGACAATCTGCAAGGCTGAACAACAGCCCCTGGGGTTGAGGCCCCTGTGGCTCCTGGTCAGGCTGCCCATTGTGGGGAGGGGCAGTGTTAGAGCAGGGCTGGTCATACCCTCTGGAGTTCAGAGGAAGGAGGACCCGTGCTTTTTTGTTTCTTTTGTTATTTTTGGATGGGTGGTTGGGAAGGTCTCTTTAACATGGGGCAGGCCACACCCCCATTCTGTGCCTCAATTTCCCCATCTGTAAACTGTAGATATGACTACTGACCTACCTCGCAGGGGGCTGTGGGGAGGCATAAGCTGATGTTTGTAAAGCGCTTTGTAAATAAACGTGCTCTCTGAATGCCACAGAGCAGCCCTGTGTGTGTCTCACCAGCCTGATAGGGCCTGCTCACCTGCCCCCAGCCTCCAGTGCAGTGGGAGGGCCCTGGAGAAGCCTGGGTTCTGATCCAGTCCTGGTTTTTCTATTTGTAAAATGGTGGGAGTGTGGACCAGGACATCACTCAGGGTCCTTCCACTTTCAGAGTTGGTTCCAAGGGACCCTGGCCATTGCTGCCCCTACCCAGGCCTCTGAAGCAGTTCCTCAGGTAGGGTATATCAACCTGAGACCCCTGAGGGCCACAGAGCTGCCTCTCACCCCACTGGGGGCCCTGGATCAGGTTGAGCTCTTTCTAGGGCAGCATGGGAGGCTCAGGCTGTGGTGTCAGGCAGATGGGCCCAGCAGCTGCGAGACCCTGGGTGAGTTAGTGCCCTCTCTGGGGCCTACTTTATCATCTGTAAAGTGGGGACAGTCCTGTTTGGATCAGATGAGGTAATGATTAAGTGCCTTATGCAGTGCCAGGTGCATCGAAAGGGCTCACTTTACAAACATGGCAGAGATGGGGGCAGAGGAGACATAGCCCTGCTGAGGATGACTGTCCCATTGCCCCAGCCCAGGCCATTCCCAGCCCCAGCCTCCTCATGGGGTAGAGAGGGAGGAGGAGCGGGCTGGCTGGTAGGGACCTGGGTCACTCCTGGCTCTGTGACAGACTTGCTGCCTGACCTTGGACAAGACAATTCCTGTTTCTGGGCCTCAGTTTCTTCATATGAAGGCTGACTCTATGATGTACTCATTCTATTTGCACACTGGCTGACCCTGTGTGCCTCAGTTTCTCCACTGGTCAGAGGATACAACCCATTCCGATGACCTCACAATTCAGCATATACTTTAATCTGAGTTAAAAACTAATTGGCCAGTTAGGATCACACTTGACTAGGGCACAGACTGACTCCCTCATCCTCATTCTGAGCTGACCTCTGAACCTTATGTGATGGATCACAAATGTGTGTCACGGGTACTGGCCCAGTGATAGAAAATGACTTGCTTTGCCCAATAGCATGGGGCAGAAGTGACGGCAAGTGAGTTCTGGATCCCAGGTCTCATGAGGCCTTGCAGTTTTTGCTTTCGCTCTTCTGGAACTCTGCTGTACAAGGGAACCTGTCTCACCTACCGGATGATTTGAGGGCACACAGAGGAGAACCAGCACATGCCGTGAACAGTCAGTATCAACTCCCAGGCTGTGAGTGAGGCTGTCTTGGACCTTCTAGTCTAGCTGACCTGTCAGGTAAGTATAGCCCCATGGCTAAGCTTAGAAGATACTGCCCAATGAGCCCCTAGAACTGGGAGAGATGATAAATGGTTCTTTCTCTGAAGACGGTCTGTTGGAATCCCTTGTTACGTACACAGTTAGCTTTCGCTGATACACATGCGTGTGGAGCAGTCTGGATGCGGCTCGGCCCTTTGCTCTGTTCGGTGCTGGCTCCTCAAGGGCAGGGAGTGTTTCTGTGCCGTCTTGTGTCCATTGCCCAGTAAGGGGCTTGTCTTGGAGCTAGTGCCCTGGAAATGTTGGCACGATGGAGGGAAGGAAGGAGAGGTTGGACTTGCCTGCCCGACTGACCAGGGGCTTCTGGCCTCTCAGAGGAGCTGGGGAGGTGGGCTGTGTATTAGAAGGAGCACCAGCTCCAGAACCCGCAGGACAAGGTACCAACCCCAGCTCCATACCCCACAGTCGGGTGACCTTGCACAATCCCCTAACAACCCTGCAATAAACACAACAGCACCTATCTGCAGGATTGGTTGTGAGGTCTAGGGACAACATATTTAAAAGGAGCCAGTGTAGTCCTTAGTGACATAATTGGCCCTCAATAAAAGGCATCTCATACCATAATACTGAAGCCCCTGGATAATGAAAATGGTGACGGTCACCTTTCATTTAGTGCCTATTCCTGTGTTGTGTGCCCTACACCCTTTATCTCTCCCTCACTCCATACAGCAGCTCTTTAAAGTGGGGATTCCTACCCCTTCAGTTTAGAGATGAGACACGGAGGCTCAGGGAAGTGAGTTTACTCACCCAAGGTCACCTGGCCAACATATGGCAGAGCAGGGACTTGAACCTGTGTTTAGGCTGACTCCACACCTGGGCCTTTATCTGCTCTGCTCTGTGGCTTCCCTGGGGTCAACAGCCCAAGGATCCCCTCAGTGCAATGCCAGATGTGTAATTTGTGGCCTAAGCACTGTTTTCCAAATGCTGTGAAATGTGTCAGAGGTGGTGGCCTCTTGGACAAGGTGGCCTGGAGCACAGGAAGATGAATGGTCCAGCCGGGTTCTGTCCAGGGCTCTGGCTGAGAAGGTGTGGGTAGAAACCTCCACCCATCCAGGCCCCAGCAAATACGATTTCTACAAGTGCAGATAGGCCGGCTGCCTGTTACTGCCAGAAGCTAAGTTGTTCTTTATGCCATAATAAATCTGGCTGTAGGAGTCAGCGAAAGCAATGATTACTTCTATGACCTCTCTGCTGGTCCCTGATTGGGACGCATTATATATTCCAGGCACCCAGGAGATGGAGCCGTGTCACTGATGGATGCCAAGGCCATTTGCAAGGCCCTCATTGGGAGTGGGGCCTGGCCACTCTCTCTCCCTGGGCTCCAGGGACCTCCCCCTGCTGACTTCTGATGGACAGGAGTTTAATGAGCTTTGGCCTCAACACCCCCATGGCTCTAAGGGCAGTGCAGAAATAATGGAGTCATTGCATAGGCAGGATCAACAGGTTCAAGTCAGGCAATGAATAGCCAGTTGGTAGAGGATGAGGGCTTTGGATGTGGGGATGTGAGAAAGCAAAGCTTTATTTGGCACTGAAATGCACACTGCTCAGTGCTCTCCGTAGACTGTCATATGTCAGTCTCCAGTTCCACCTGTGAGGTGGGTACTGTGATCATTGCCATTTTACAGATGAGGAGACTGAGGCTTAGAGAGCTTAAGCAACTTGCCCCAGGTCAGAGAGACAACAAGGTCACACAAACAACAGCAACCAGTGTGATCCTTTGAAAAAACAGGGCAGATCCCGTCACTCACCTACTCAAACCCTCCAGTACCTCCTGTTGCTGTGTGCATGAGCTCTGCACTCCTGACCATGACCTCTTGAGGCCCACATGTCCTGGCTCCACCCTCTCTGTCCACGTCCCTTCTGCATGCTCCTGCTCACTCCAGGCTCTTGTTCCCCCATCGTTCTGAGCTCTTTGCATGGACACATTTCTCCAGTCCTGCATACCTGGCTCCTGCCTGGTGTCCAGTCCCCAGATCAGATGTCCCCTTCCTGAGATGCCCTCCCTGAATACCCTGAGTGGCCCTCCAGCACCCAGTATCCCTTCTCTTTCAGGGCCCATCCTCCGTCTGCCCCTCATTGCTTTCTCACAGTGGGTGATGAGCTTGTTCATTCACTGGGTATTTGTTCCCACCAGACTGTGAGCAGCGAGAGGCTAGGGCCATGGAGGTCTTGTCCTCCTGTGTCCCTTGCACTAGGCATGGTGCCTGGCACATGACAAGAACTCAATGAGTATTTGTTGAATGAATGAAAGTTGCAGAGCTGGGGCTGGAGTTCAGGTCTGTCTGGCTCCAAAGCCTATACTCTTAAGCACATCATTTTTAGTCCTTGGATGACCACATGGCTTGATGTCATGAGGCTAGATTCCAATGCTGGCTCAGCTGCCACCATGCTGTGTGGCATTGAGCAAACAGCTGGGGCTCAGTCTCCTGATGTGTCCATGAGGAGGCAGAACTAGGTGCTTTCTAGGAGCTCATTCTAAGTAGGACAGCATCAGGTTCAACATCCCTCAGACAATGGGGCTGACACTGCTCAGGGGGGCTCAGGCCATTGGCCTAAGCATCTGGTTTCTGAGGCTGGTGGCTTTACGCTGACTTTAGTCTGACGGGCCTGCACCCCAACCCTGGCTGGTCCTGGTGATCATGATAGTGACTGCTGTGCATTGTACCTAATACAGACATTGTTCCTAATCTCCCCAGCATCCTGAGAGTTGGGTATCACCAAGCCCATTTAGCAGGCAAGAAAGCCGAAGCTCAGAGAACTGAGGGCAGAGCTCTCAATGTCAGAGCTAGAAAAGATTCAGTCTCTGGACTAGAACTTGGGACTGACTCCAAAGCCAGTGCTCATGCAAACTCAGCAACAACAGCCAGTCTATGCCTGCACCACACCAGCTGTTTGAGGCTGCTCTCAACCCTTAGCCAGGCTGTTCTCCCAAGTCTGATCTAGCTGGGCTCACCTCCACTGAACCTCACCATCACCAGCCTCTCCAGGCCCAGGGCTGGCAGGCGGCGGGCCGGCTTGAAACACTGCCGGATCATCCTAGTCTGCTGAATTCTCATGGTGAGGGTGGCCTGAGTCAGTGGGAGCGCAGGAGCTGAGAACTCCTTTCAAGAAAAAGGAAACTCATCTAAGCTCACCTCCTACTCTCTCCCTGGGGTGGGAAGAGGGACCCTGACCAGAAATGTCATTTTCTGCTGATTTCAAAGTGAATAATGTGGCTTTCTTGGGCTGTGTTTATTCTCTTAATGCATCCCTGTTTGAAGAGCACTGGGCTCAACATCCCTCAGAGACAATAGGGCTGGCATTGCTCATTAGTGCCCAGGCTACTGGCCTAAGTATCTGCTTTCTGAGCCTGATGAAACCTTGGGTATAGTCTGAGCTTTGGTCTGATGGGCCTCTGTACCTACTTTGGCAGGTCCTTGCATTATACCTAATGTGGACGTTGTCTCTAATCTTCCCAGAAATCCTGAGAGATAGATGTTACCAAAACCATTTGATATACAAGGAAACAGACTCAGAGAGGTGAGGTGAATTGCTTAAGGCTACACAGCTAGAAAAGAGCCAAGACAGGGTTAGAAGCCATGTCGCTTGACTCCAAACCATTGCTCTTGTAATCACTGGAGAAATACTGGCAGATCTAAACCTGAAACACATTGTCTGCTGGAAGTTTCTCTTGTCCACAAACCAGTCTGCCCTCTCAACACTCACTTAA